AGCTAAATTTTATCAAAATCTGACAAGTGAAAGTGGGTCAAAACAAAGATTTAGTTTGCTACAGGCAAAAGCAGTCATTCAGGCAGTGTGCCTGAGGACTCAGGCAGTTAGTATTAAAGCCCGGTTTTAGGCCTAAAGGGAGGGCTTTGGGTATGTAGGAAAAGTCAGAAAATTTCAACAGCCTCAGACCAATACTTTTTGAGTTATGTAAAAAAAAAAACCAGCAGGAATAGGGTTAAAGTCTCATCCTTTATGCTGGGTAACGCTGAAGTTCAAAGAAAGGCCGGGGGAAGAAACCGCACTGAATATTACCCAAGAATGGTTTGTAGGATTGGAGGTAGTTTCTTATACCATGGAGGAGACTCCATATTCTGGAATATTTCAGTCCTAAACATAAAGTTTCATCAGTATTAAAGGGATTGTAGGCGTACTTTCAATTGACCCTTCATTTTAGGGCAGGCCTATTCGATTCACAACGGCACCCTCTAAACTGTTTAGCAACAATAAGGAAGATATGTGTAGTTTTTCTTTCTTGTAAAGTGTTAAACTTTGACAATTGTCTTCCATACAAGAAAACGATCAATTTTTAGCTAGATCAAAAGGATATCATCTCATTCATCCTTCATTATACAAATTAAAAATTAAAAGGGTTCTGTTGTGAAACATTAGAAGGGTTCCGTTGTGAAACATTAAAAGGGTTCCGTTGTGAAATATTAAAAGGGTTCCGTTGTGAAATATTAAAAGGGTTCCGTTGTGAAATATGAAAAGGGTTCTGTTGTGAAATATTAAAAAGGGTTCTGTTGTGAAATATTAAAAGGGTTCCGTTATGAAATACTAAAAGGGTTCTGTTGTGAAATATTAAAAGGGTTCCGTTGTGAAATATTAAAACGGTTGCGTTGTGAAATATTAAAAGGGTTCCGTTATGAAATATTAAAAGAGTTCTGTTGTGAAATATTAAAAGGGTTCTGTTGTGAAATATTAAAAGGGTTCCGTTATGAAATATTAAAAGAGTTCTTTTATGAAATATTAAAAGGGTTCTGTTGTGAAATATTAAAAGGGTTCCGTAGTAAAATATTAAAAGGGCTCCGTTGTGAAATATAAAAGGGTTCCGTTGTGAAATATTAAAAGGGTTCTGTTGTGAAATATAAAAATCATGCATCTGAATTTTGAATAAAATTAATCTTAACTGTTTCTGCCTGTTTAGCAAAAATCCATGATTAGCTTTCTAAAAATGGCACAAACCAGTTATATCAAGTTAAAAATACAAAAAAACGAATATCTAAAAGAATCGGAATCGTTCTTTCACTTTCATTTTGCTTAACTTGAAAGTGAAAATTAAACATAATCTTGGCTGTTTTATTGCTCGCATACTCTACAAATAATGTCGTTTAGTTTTCTGAAAATGACACGAACCAGTTTTATCCAGAGTTTAAAAATCCAAAGCTTGGAAATATCAACAAAAAATCGGTATCCTTCTTGCATCCCATTTTACTGTCAAGTGTGGAGATAAACGCATTGGGTCTTTTTTATTTCGTTCGTTAATCGTTCTAAAAGGACCGATTTCGTTTTTTTTTCAATCGTTCCAAAAGAATTTATTTCCTTCCTAAATTATCATTCGTTTTCCAGCTATTTCGTTCGTTTTCTTGCTGAACTATAGTTCGGTGAAATAGTTTGTTCAGTTAAATCGTTTGTTCAGTAAAATTGATCTTTTAATAAAAAAACTATCGTTTTTTTTTATCTTTTTCCAAAAAAATCGTTCGTTCGGTAAAAAACTATCGTGTTTTTCAATATCTTTTGGAAAATTCGTTAATTAAGTAAAAAATTTGTTTCGACGATTTTAAATCGTTTATTGTTTTAAAACTATCATTTTTTTGGAAAAAACACCATCGTTCAAGAAATACTTTGTTTGTTCTCAAAAATGCTGTCCCTTCTTTACTAAAGTGTGATTTTAACATAATATCAAAACTTATTATAATTATTATTATTAAAAGACAACCCGTCATTCAATGAAGCAGGGGTCGGCGATCCTCTCCGACTTATAAATATGTTCAACAATTTTTTCTATGTGTTAAAGCTAGGAATGTTAGTCTCTGTAAGATTGTGAGCTGAACAAAAGGAAAAGTTACTCGAAGCGGGATGTACTTAAGCAAAGGATTGGTAACTCGAAGAATGACAAATCCAAAGGCAATTAGGTTAGGGAAACACTCTCTTCTACCAGACACACATAGATGAGAACTTCTTGAAAATGTTTATTCAGTAACGAAGTTTCCTACAAAATACAAATTGTTATTGGCGTACATGCATGTAAATAATAATTGTTAATAAATGGGTATTGTTGTGAATCGAACAATTGGTTTAGAAACATGTACCATTGAGAATTGAACAAAGACTTAAAAGGTATAGGAATTCTAGGTTTTGTAGGTTTAGCAGGTTTAGGAAACTCTAGGTTTAGCAGGTTTAGCATTCATATTTTATTACTGTTGCGTATCGATAAATAAAGGGTTTAGAAAGGCACTGTTGTATACCAATAATAATTGTTAATAAATGTAACTATTTTATTACAACTAATTAAATGTTTATTGAAACTGATAAATAGGAATTTTAAAGGAAAGGTTCTGTTGTGAATCGACCAAGAAATATTTTAAGGTACCGATGGGAATTAATAAATGAAATATTTTAAATGGGTACTATTGTGAATCAAACATGGACTTACGATCTAGAAAACTGTGGTACGGCGAAAAGTTGTTTGTACTGAAGTCTAAAGCAATTTAATTCTTCTGAAATGAATATTTATTTGGTTAAAATAAGTTCACTGTTTATATGTAAATGATTCACTGAAAATTGTGTTTAAATAGGTTCTTTTTTAATGCACTTTAAGTTTTACTAGATCCATGAGGTTATTTATGTAAAATCCTTGGCAAGGTTTGGTTTGGCGGATGGCCGGAGTACGGAGTATTCAACGGAGGTACACTTTGTCGGAGACGACCTTTGAAACAGGGTTACATTAGGGATATGGTTCACAGTGGCCCCAGGAGGGGTTCGAGGATATAAAGGCTTATAGACGAGAAAAATGAGAACCATATCCCCTAAATAATTACATAGTAGGTTTGATTGATTGATTGTTACATTACAAGTTACACATTTTGCACTACGTGTAAGAATATTATTATTGTTGCCGAACTATCAGAATTGGTACTAACATGTGAAATCATAGGAAATAAATGCAAGTTAAGGGTTAGCTCAGAGAATTGACTGTTAAATTAACATAAACGACATGGTATTTGAAGATTGATTGATTGATTGATTGGCAAATTAAAAGTCTTGTCATGTAAATAGGGTTTTCCTCTGAGGGAAATAAATGGGAAAAAAAAGGAAGGAATTGAATGTTAAATAAATAGCTCGAATATTAAAGTTAATGTTTAATGAACTGGTTGATTTCCTGGGTTGAGTGGTTTCATGGTTGAATCCCGGCGGGGATCTGTGGTTCCGGCGGGTATTGGTAAATTTCCATTTGTTTTTGAAATTGTTGCAAAGAGATTGGTTAAAGCTGTTAAATAATGAAATAGGAAATAAAGTTAATTATGTTGATAAACAATAAGTTCAATGGATTTTTTTTTCCTAAAAAAAATAAGATAAAATGTAATGTACCCGCCGGAATTATACTTCTACTGATCCGGGTTTGCAGGATCTGTGTGGAACTCATCTTGGGCTGAGGTATGATGAGTGGAGCTGTCCGGAGCAAGGTTATCAGCTACAGGATCTGCTGCTAGCCCGTTGATCGTTTCCTGAGGGGGCTGTTGTTCCACGCCGAGGAATGGGAGCAACTGGTTCATAGGAGGATCAGAGTTGAGTGGAGGAACAGTGTTTGTGGACGGATCAGGCACAAATGGAGGATTTGGTTTGAGCGGGAAGGCTGGAGTGGCAGCAGGATCAGATCCTGTTGGAGGTCCTGGATCGGTAGGAGGGTCAGGGTTGGAAAGAGGGGTTGGGTGGGTTGGCAGGTCAGGTTCGGTTGTAGGCTCCAGATTGTTTGGAGGATCTGGTTTGAGCGGAGAGGCTTGATTGATAGAAGGATTAAGGTTGAAGNATTAAATGTTTATTGAAACTGATAAATAGGAATTTTAAAGGAAAGGTTCTGTTGTGAATCGACCAAGAAATATTTTAAGGTACCGATGGGAATTAATAAATGAAATATTTTAAATGGGTACTATTGTGAATCAAACATGGACTTACGATCTAGAAAACTGTGGTACGGCGAAAAGTTGTTTGTACTGAAGTCTAAAGCAATTTAATTCTTCTGAAATGAATATTTATTTGGTTAAAATAAGTTCACTGTTTATATGTAAATGATTCACTGAAAATTGTGTTTAAATAGGTTCTTTTTAATGCACTTTAAGTTTTACTAGATCCATGAGGTTATTTATGTAAAATCCTTGGCAAGGTTTGGTTTGGCGGATGGCCGGAGTACGGAGTATTCAACGGAGGTACACTTTGTCGGAGACGACTTTTGAAACAGGGTTACATTAGGGATATGGTTCACAAAGATATAGTATTCCTGGGTGAATAGGATTACTTGAAGCCTAACACCATGCAATCAGAAATATATAGACTATTCTTCATTATTTATTTATTGTTTACATCTTACACAGGGTTTACTCAACATATATTCTTTATTTATTTATTGTTTACATCTTACACAGGGTTTACTTAATATATATATTTTTATTTATTTATTGTTTACATCTTACACAGGTTTACTCAACATATATACTTTTATTTATTTATTGTTTACATCTTACGTAGGGTTTAATCAATACATATACTTTTATTTATTTATTGTTTACATCTTATACAGGGTTTACTTAACATATATACTTTAATTTATTTATTGTTTACATCTTACACAGGGTTAACTCAACATATATACTTTTATTTATTTATCGTTTACATCTTACATAGGGTTTACTCAACAAATATACTTTTATTTATTTATTGTTTACATCTTACACAGGGTTTACTTAACATATATACTTTTATTTATTTATTGTTTACATCTTACATATGGTTTACTCAACAAATATACTTTAATTTATTTATTGTTTACATCTTACACAGGGTTTGCTCAATATATATATTTTTATTCATTTATTGTTTACATCTTACACAGGGTTTACTTAACATATATACTTTAATTTATTTATTGTTTACATCTTACACAGGGTTTACTCAATATATTTACTTTTATTTATTCATTGTTTACATCTTACACAGGGTAACATGTATACTTTTTTATTTATTGTTTACATCTTACACAGGGTTTACTTAACATATATACTTTAATTTATTTATTGTTAACATCTTACACAGGGTTTACTCTATATATTTTACTTTTATTTATTTATGGTTTACATCTTACACAGGGTTTACTCAACATATTTACTTTTCCACACAGAGCTACCCACAAAGAATGAGACTAGAATTTTTTTTACATTTTATGTTTTCGTTATTTAATAATTTTTAAAAACTAATTCTGAAACCGTATCCACCCCCAAAGTAGGAGTTTTGAACGTCGAATTTGCGCTCAAACTCAGGATTTACAGATCTTTAAAAAGTTTGATATGTCTCAAATGAATCCGAAAGAAGTTTTCCACAACACTGCATACTCAGTTCAACTACCTTACATAGCCGGTCACTCCCTTTAAATGAGCTCTAAACTTGTTTCTTTCTTTTTCAAATCTTCTAATATACTATTTAAAAACCATTTTAGACAGAACCCATAATTCAACTTTCAAATGATAAATATTGCAATTGACTTTTAAGGCGTTTAACCCTATCCCTGCTGGGGTACTTGAAAACCAGGATACGCTGGGGGGGGGCCAATTTGCCCCCCCCTCTAAATCCCATGTTTTATGTCCAAATATGACAAATGATACATCATTAGAAAGCTCTTGTGCTCTACTTTTAGAATCTGCAAAAATTTTTGCAAATTTGCGAAAATTGAATTTTTAACTTAATGGTCAACATAATTTTTTAATAAAAAAATTTCTACTTTAAAAAAGAAATTACACAACCGTTTATACCTGACAACGCCAGGGTGAAGAGAAAAGGATTGAAATCCTTCCGAACCCCATCTCCTAAATATATATATATATCCTCCTGAATATAAAATACATTAAAATTTTCCTAAGCAGTACTAATTTTAACAGATATTAATAAAACATAAGAATAATGAATATTTGTAAAACTACTGCAGCAGAGGCTGAATTTGAAGAATTTGAGCCGCGGCTCAAATATGGTTGGTTTTACTTAAAATTGTATTTAATGTTTCAAGATTTAAACCGGCGCTCAGTTGAAACCAGTTTTTGGCGGATTATAGACGCGGCTCAAATTCATTAAATTTGGACTCAGGAGAGTAAAGAAATAGCTTAAAGAGCTGTTTTCGTTGTAGGGTTAAAAAATTCAAGATTAAAATTACTTCTCTAAATTCAAGTCCATGGAGGTTGGGAACTTATTAATAACCTTCGGACGATTAACGAAGTTCTCATTGGAGGATTTCCAATCGAAATTTTGTTGCGCAAAATTGCGCAGAATTGTTCAGAATTGCGTGGATTTGAGCAGAACTTATGGTAGCACAATTGCGCGTAAATCAAATTCACTTGTGTTGGCAACCCTACTCCGAAATATTAAATATTAACCAATAATAAATCTGAAATATTATTGGGGAGATCTCAGCACTATATATTTAAATAATTAAGAAATGGTACCTTACGAGCTCTTTTGTAAACAGGGCGTTCATAAACTTGGAGACTTGATACACTAAATCAACCTAAAATAAAATTAATTAAAAAAGATAAAAATTTGAAAAAAATGATCGCCATCTTTTTTTGATATCTGAGTTGGTTCAACCTTCCACCAACTAAAATATGAAAAAAGATTACAGATTTTTAAGATGGTATGATAACAAAGATTACAAATTAAGATTGATTACTGTTAAATCGAAAGTTTGTTATACTTTAAGTGAAATCATGTGAATTATTACACTTCAACCCTTAATCCAATGGGGGGGGGGGGGCGACCAATAGTGTTCATGACTAATGTAAAGTGAATCAATCTTGGTTTTCTTTAATGAAATATCCAAATATTATTGATATAGTGTCGTGTTTAAACCTCATAAAATCCAAAGCGGGTGTCAATTCTGATTCACTGAAAGAGAGCAAACGAAAACCTTTCTACTTTATATTGGTTATCACTAGGGCTGGGCACGTTAGGACTTTTTTCTAACCGTTCGCTAATAGAACGTTGCCCACTCTTAGCTCTCAATGTACAATGCCTTCGAAGCCTTTTTATTTTAATGCCTTTTCACGATTATACGACAAAAAATCAAGTTAAGGGAGAAATGAATTGCAACAGGGAATAAAACATTTCTGCAAGAATTAAGAAAAGGAAAAATACCTCGTAATCCTGTCCTTTCTTGATCTGTGTATAGTCTATTGGACTGCAATCAAAAACCGTAAAAAGTTTTTACTAACTATTGTAATATAACTTTTATAAGAAGAAAAGTTCTTAAGATTAAATCATTAATAAATGATGCAGACAGAGATTGTCAACGTGTATTGTCAAACTCTTGATTGAAAAAGAAGAATAAAATATTCACACCAGTTCCCTTCACATTTTTAATCAAAGAGAATAGAATATATATTAGAGTGGAATTTACTAGAAAAAAGTGTAAAACGGCCATTTTGTTGTATTGTTTCCATACTGCAGGTTATACTTAACATATTTGCGCTATATAACCTTTTGGGCCCTGCAACATCATTTAATAGAAAATCTAAAACCAATATTAAAAGAAAACCAAATTATGAAATAGGCTGGTTTCCTAATTGACCAATGATCATTTCACACTTTACAAACGATGATTTTCCGTTATAACTATAAATCAAATAATGTTTTTTATTTACCTAATTCATTTTATAAAGTTTATTTAACAGCTTTAAAAAATTTGAAATTGAAATGAATAGTCTAGGGAACATACTAAATTAACGTACTCTACTGCATATAATTTAGATGATTTGTACACTTTGAACTCCCTTTCAGGCTGAAAGGGACTTACAAAATTCATACCGAGGGATTGTCTAAATTCCACTCTATTATATATTCTATTCTTTTTGTTTTTATTAGTTTTAATGATGAAAATATTTAGTTTTTTCCCTCGAAAAATTGACAAACTTTACTGGCCGCAGCCTTAATAGAAAGGCTGCAAAATCATTGCATTGCAAAACAACGAAATTGCCTTTTATCATATTTTAGATCAAATCGTTATTTCGATAGTTATGGGTATTATGTAAAAATAATGAAAAAATCAGTTATTTTTTAACAAATTTGTTAAAACTATTGCTTTTACTTTGATTCCTTGGTTGAATAGATGCCATGGAAGAAACATTTATAACTCTGGGAGCATCAGAGTTTTTCAGGGTTTCCTGAAATAAAACGTTAAAAAAGTTGTTTAAACAGGGTTTCTGGATGTTTTCACCATATTTTCATCCTAATTCTTGGAACTTTTACAGTTTGAAATCAGAACTTTAGTTTTATCATGAATCTTGGGACTTTACGCATTGATCTTCATCTTGCAGATTTGCGGATACATTTTATTCCTCTTTGATATCCCGTGATGGTCATACCCTGAAGGAATTACTTTTGTAGAGGGATCAATCATTTATGCTAAAATTAAAAGTGCACACATTGGATATCGTTATCAAGCGTTTCAGATTAACGCTATATACTCAACGCAAAAGTTCCGACCACCGCTAAAAGAGTAAATTAAATATTAAATTAGTGTAATTAAAACGAAACTTGCAAATATATGTGTAAAATATACGCAAATTTAGTTCTTTCGTTAAAGCTACATCTCAAAATTAATTTTTTTTCAAGGGTTGAAGATTTTGATGGTTAAGAATTAGTGATTATTTATCAGGAGAAAAAAAAGAAAGTTTGAGAGTAACTAAAAATCAAATTTTTAATATAATAAACTCGATTTATTTATCTATTTATCTATCTATCTATNTCAACCTAGAGATATAGAAATATCAAGATATCAACCTAGAGATATAGAAATATCAAGATATCAACCTAGAGATATAGAAATATCAAGATGTCAACCTAGAGATATAGAAATGTCAAGATATCAACCTAGAAATATATAAATATCAAGATATAAACCACGTGTCCCACCTTATCAACAGAATTCTTCAATATTTTACAGAACTCTCGTACACTCTCAAATCTGCCCAGATCTAAACTGATCATCTCCACATCCTAGTATTTAGCAATTTAACCCAAAATATTTAATAAAACTAAACAATGATGCGAAGGTATTGTTCAGAAATAGGGTTTCCCAAAAAAAACTTGATAAGTTTCAATTTCAAATGTTTCTAATTGTTTAAAATATGATTTTCCTTTTTTCAGTTCACTACCGTCCAAAACATGTATTAATTTGGAAGGGATGATACCAGTGGGTAAGTAGGTTTGTAACTTGCGAAGGATAGACCCCGCCCCCCCGGCCCCACCCACCAATCCGAAAATTCACCCATCATGACCCCCACCTTCTAAACTTTTGAAAATTTGTTTCTTAAATTGTTAATGCCTTGTTACCGGTTTCAGCTCTGATTTTCTTGACGGCTATGGATCCTAAAAATACCAATAAAGGGTAAATACATCTTCATGAAAAATCTTTTTTCAACACTACCCCTGACCCTTCTCGAGATTCACTTTTTCCTCAAAATGTTAAGTATGGGAAGTTTTACATTTCTTTTCAGAAGCGTATTCCGTTTTTAGTGGGGGGGGGGGGGCTTAACGTTTTCATATAATTTATATAAAGAGGGGTGCGAGTTTAGTCCCCATTGGGGCACGGATCCCTCCTGATAAAGAACGTTTAACTTCTTTATCGGGAGGAGGATTAACCCCATTGCCCCTTATGTTTATACCTCTATGCTTTTAGTGTTTTTTTTTTTCAGCTATTTGGTTAAAATTTATGAATTTTTGGATAAAAAGAATTAAAACTGGAAAACTTTCCTTATTTAGTAAAATTTTAATTTTTCTCCAAAGCATCAAAACCATTTACCATTTCACATGAAAAATAAACTTTTCTTTCTATTGAAATCTCGTCTAGTTTAACTGTTTTCTTTATATTGAAATCTCGTCTAGTTTAACAGTTCTGTCCTCAAACCTTGGATGTCCTAAACCTGTTAAACTTGTCACATTATATAACCAGGGGTGTATATTTACATAAACATAATAAAATATTTTAAAATTTCTTAGAGCAATACAATTTTTTTATTTAATTTTATGCAAAATATGAACGAGCCTTGGTGGACATTTTGAATTTTGACAAAACTGAAAATGTTGTGGAAAACATCGAGCCCTGTTTATTACCTCTGTCTTTACTCCGGCAGCCAAGAATAACCCTGGCCCCTCTCCGGGCTAGGTCCAGAGCAGTTTCAAATCCTATTCCTCCATTTCCTCCAGTTACAACTACAACCTGCAATTATATTCATATTTTGGCCCAAATACCAAAGAGAATGGATATAAATAGAGTGGAATTAATTTGAAAAAGTGTAGAACCACCATTTTGTTGTACTGTTTCCATACTTCAGATGTACTTAACACATTTGTGCTACACAACCTTTTGGGCCCTGAAACATCTCTTTAATATTCAAATCGAGGGTGAGGCGTTGCCCACAACGGATGAGACAATTCTAGAATATGACGAAATCATGGTTGAATTCAATCTTCTGCCTTAGATAAAGTCTTTCTATGATTTATGTAATAATTGTACAAAGAAAGAAACAAATTTACAGTTAAGTCATAAAGAAACAGAGTAAAAATAGTCTCTGAAGTCTCATCCTTTGTGGGTAACCTTGTATCTTATGAGCTCTCTGGAGTATAAATTTTTTTTCCCAAAATATGGGACAGATTTAATCTTGAACTTTGGAGATCAAACTGAATTTCGGACAAGAGCAAAGATGAATTCTTATTTTTTATAAAAATGTGTCTACAATCTCAATACATTACGAATTTAATTTGAAAAATTTTAAAATTTCAGAAATGAAAACGCGTTTGATAATTTTTTAGCTATACAGATTTAATCAAACATTTTCAAAATTATTTGATTAAAAATTAAAGGGAAAATGAATTATATAAAGTGGTTTTACGATACAACAGCCCTTTCAGCTTTACTGGATTAAAATAGAGGGAGAAATCGTTGTTTTTCGTCTCAAGAAAGAAATCAATTCTCTTAAATTCACAATTAACTTTTGTAGAAAACTGCAATTAAGAAAAAAAAGGTTTCAAGGGTACCATTGTGAAACGTAGCCTAATTTGGAACATTTTGAATTGGATCTAACTTTGTTTTGAATAGATTGAATTTATTTCAAGTAATTACTTTAATTGTCTTGTAATCAAGTTAATATTCAGAGGGATCTTAGATTTAAGAAAGAGAGTGTAAATGTAAATTCATGTGATCTTCTATTCTAACCTTTAAACTTTTGCCTTTTCAAGGATGAATGAGATATTCTTATATTTTTTAATACAAATTGATTACTTTTAAGAAAGGTTTCCCTAAAAAAAAAAACTCGCGGATTGTGTTTTAGAGATGTCCTGATATGCCAAACTCCGTACTTTACTTTATCAGCTTAATCTATCACAAACTCTATCCTCTCTACCTCTTAGGTTTATAAACTCCATAAATACCGAGTCTGTATTGAACTAGCTATATTTAGATATAAAAAGGTAAAGGTAAATCCTTTGACCTCAACTATAGGGCCAAGTACTAAAAATAACTTATATTTGAGAGTTACAAAGATACAACAAAATAGGATAATATTTTACAGAGACAATAAAGGAAACCGTTAGAAATCTAAAAAGTTTAAATCTAATAAAAGATGAAGCTAGGGAAACGACGATATACTCCAGGCTGTTCATCGGATATCTGTGTTTATGCCAAGGGCACTGTTATAAAATAACAGTGCCCTTGACATAAAAATTATTTCGACCTGGCCGACTTTGAAGTGACGACAGGTCTTGGTTTTAATTAAACTTTTTAAACTCTGGATAAAAAGAATTTAGAACAATTTCTGAACGCAAGCTTATGTATTCTAAAGGAGTATCAGGCCAAAGCCTGATCAATTTTCACATCAAAATATGAACATTTTACAATACTATATAGAAACTATAAACGTATGACATAGATTAATAACAATACAGATAGAACATTAGATATGTCTTTTCAAGATGTTGGAGTTTTTCGTTCACAATAACCCTGAGGAAAAAGCCCAAAGAAGTTACGCGCATGCTCTCTCTTTGTCTTGCAATTCAACGCAGCATGCGCAAAACTTCATTAGGCTTCTGCCTCAGGAGTCATGGGTTTTCTTGAACGAAAAATCCCCAAATCTTGAGAAGATGAAATCTAGTGTTTTATCTGTAGTGTTATTAATCTATTTATAGACTCAATTAAATGCTGTCAATTGTGAAAAAAGAAGACTATATTAAAGTAATCTTATGAGTACTTGATGCTGTAATATGAAGAAAAAAGTTTTACCAGTTGTATCAAAACCAACTTATTCAGGAAATGGTTTTGTGTAAAGTTTTAATTGTACAATTAATTGCTGTATTTCATGTTCAATGGGCCAATTAAGAAAAAAACTTATATAAAAACGTCCGTTTGTATCTATTAAACGTCTAAACGGCCGAGCTGATCGGGCCCACATTTTGTGTGGGACCTCACATGAACCCAGTGAATGTTTATTGATGGTCAAAATTACAAAAATGTGTTTCCAAAAATTCATCAAATCCGCAATTTTTTGCTATTGTTTTACATTGAACAAAATGGAGATTTTCACGGATAGATCCACTATTAAAAGTTGATGTGTAGTAAACGCCTACTCCATAACAATTTCTGGAACAAGTATCTATTCAGGTACAACTCAGATTTCTTGACTATCAATGTCAACACATGGCTACAATCCAGTGAACTATCAACGCAACTACCACTGGCTGCGTTGAATTACAAGACAAAGAGAAAGCATACACATATGTCCTTTGGGCTTCGGCCTTAGGGTTATTGTGAATAAAAAACCCCCCAAATCTTGAAAAGTTGACATCTAGTGTTCTATCTGTATTGTTATTAATCTATGCGATGTGTTTATAGTTTCTGCAACTGTAACACATTTAAAAAAAACATCGAATATTTAAAACTGAAATGAAATAAATAAATAATGTTCTGTTAAATAGTTGGGCAATTTTTACAATAAATGATTAATAAAATCCGTATTTCAGAATTTTCCCCCCTAAATTTTGACTATGACAGAAGACAAAGACATGAACAAAACATGCAAACCATAACATTCTTTACTATTCCTATTTTCTGTCAAAACTGACCTCACAACTAATCTTAGAATTGACCTTGAAATCTGACCTTAAAACCGACCTTAAAACACAACTCAAAGTTGACCTCAAAACTGGCCTCAAAACTTAACTCACATCTGACCTCAAAACTGATCTTAATATGGACCTCAAAACTGAACTTAATACTGACCTTAAATCCAACCTCAAAACGTACTTCAAAACTGACTTCAAAATTGACCTCAAAACTTAACTCAAAACTGACCTCAAAACTGACCTCAAAGCTTAACTCAAATCTGACCACAAAACCGACCTTAGAACTGACCTCAAAACTGATCTCTAACCTGCACTTAAATCTAACCTCAAAACGGAACTCAATACAAACCTTAAAACCAATCTCAAAATGGACTTAAAAACTATATGTCAAAATTGATCTCAAATCTGACTTCAAAACTAACTTCAAAGCTGACCGTAAAACTGACCTCAAAACTAAACTCAAACTGACTTAAAAACCAAACTCAAAGCTGACCCAAAACTGTGCATTTTGTACCTTTCCGTTTAATTTAGCCGTTGATTTACAGATGCCCAGAGTAATCTCCTTGTACAAGAAGAAGAACAGTCCAACAACAAAGGTTATTGTGCACAGCCAGCTGTACATAGAGTACAACCATACAATCATTTTACTCTGAAACATGAAAAATTAAAGTGTCTTTGTGTGCATGCCGCGCGTTACAATTAAGTACTGCTGCCACCATGCGGACACCCTTTCTCAAGTCATACCATCACCTTTTCCTGGTGTTAGATAATTTCCCCAAATGTAATTTCCTTGCATGTAGTTAAAATTTCCCCCAACCACTTAATCCCCCAATCAAAAATTTCCCCATGCAGTAAAAATCTTTAATAAAATAAACTGTTATTAGAAAATATTGAAATAATCTTTGATGAAACCCTCAAAAAAATATTGGAACATATAAACATGATATTAAATAAAAATTAACAAACTTTACAAAATTACAAAGGATTCAAAATATGTAGCTGAGCCATGGGACATGAGCCATTATCTAGCTGTACACTGTTGAAGGAAATCTAGTTTTTCCATGGATGTGTGGTGCCACTGCCTACACATTATGACGCTATTCAAACTGAATAGTGTATTGCAAATGTAAAAAATTGCGAATTTTTATTATCAATTTGCGCATTTGAGATATCAGACATGATGAAGTTATTCGAATAATTGTAAATTTAAATTGTAAATTCAAGAACTTTCAAATACAAAAGTATAACATTTTGAAATGTTACTATCAAAAGAAGAATATGGAAAAAGCTGTAAAAATTTTAAAATGACGAAAATTCTAATAATATTTTCATTTATTTGATTTGATATTAGACTGCTATTCGTATGCTATGTATTCATTATATATAAAAATAGTAAGGATTTGCCTTTTGTAATGTATAATGAACCATAGTTATAGCAATTAGTATCTTTTAGTGACTTCTGTGTTTCCGTATTGAAAACTAAAATTAAGATTTATATAATACTTTTTGACATATTAAGATTAGAAGATTCTTATTCTAGAATTCTAAATTATCTAAATATTTTTAAAAAAGTATTTTAAAGAAAAAAATTATGTTGCATTTTGATTTTTAAATATTGATAAATAACAATAAATTTAGGATATACTGGTTGGAGGAATATGAACCTATAGAAATTTAACCCAAGGAGAAGCATTTTTAGGTAGAAATACAATAAATTTGGAAAGTAGACAACCTACAATGAATTTGGAAATTAGACACCCCACATGTAACAAAGGCAAAAAAGTTGAGAAAAAAAAAATTCAAAATTCCACAAAAGATGAATTTTCAGATTTTAATGGTTTTTAATAACTTATTTCAGACCTTAATCAATATTCCAATTTCCATGCAAAATTTCAGAAGATTATCTTGAAAACTAAAGATGTTAGCCCCTTTTTATACTAATTTTTTCTTTGATTGTAGGAAAAATTTTATTCATTTGGTGCAATCTTTTTTCATGATTTTTAATGCGCAACATAGTTTTAATCAAAGAAACCTTAATGAAAAAAAATTTAAAATCTGGGAAAATTCCTTTTGGCACATTTCAATCTTCAGTCCAGAAAGTTAATCACAATCATGTTCTGGATCCCAAGTTCAAAGTTCAAAAATGAAGATAGGACCTCAAATTTAATTTACAAGGGAACAATACAAAAATAAAAAAGAAAAAAAGAAACAAAAAACTAATTCATCGAAAAAAATAAAGGATATTACCCAACATAATACAGGCCCAATTTAAACCTAAAATCTGGAAAACCTATATTTTTTCAAAAAAAACCTCGAAAAATGCAGGAAAAATGTTCTTGTATTATTTATTCTTTACATTTTGAAAATACATTCTCATAGTTAATCACTAATCAAAATCTCGAGAAAATATAGCTTCAATAATGAAGATGTGATTCAACCTCAAAAGTGTTGTCAATGTCATCTGAGTGAAAATGTGCCCATGTCCCCTTTTAAAAACAAATTGCACTATTAAAAAAATATATTTAGTGAATGTCTTTTGTCCTTAACTAAAAAAGTTTCACTAAAAAAGCTTTAATCAATACTGCTTTCAGTGAAAATATATATTTGATATTATTATTTTTAATAATTACACAATATGTATCGTTTCTATGAAAATGAAAATGAAAAGTCCACTTAAGAAAATTACATAAATAATTTATTAACACCATGGAAGTGTGCATGATCGAATAGTTTGCATAGTTAAGAAAGGTATCAATATTTTTTTTTTAAAAAGGGATTTTTAAGGGGGGGGCACAATGTTGCCAAGGGGAGGCACAAATGCTCTCGTACGCCCCTGTACCCCAATAACAGATGAAGATGATGGACACCATTCGAATCTGAAGATAAGGCTACATTACGCCCTACTCCTGCATGTATCTATTCTATATATATGAATATACTTTGCTTGTATGTTTGTCTGTCCGTTTGTATCCTAATAGCAATACATGTCTAAACGGCTTTAGCAAAATTCGATTTGCATTAAGTTTTGAAAATCCACGAAATTTTTTATAAAATCTACAAAAAAATTTGTTTTTGTTTCACAATGTATACAAAGAGAAAATGTTTACAGTTGAAATATGAAGATCGGGTACGAAGCGCCCTTAAAGCCTAGTAGAATCTATTATTTTAAACAATGAAACAATGAAGTGTAAAATTGTAGGATACCACGACGTATCACAAATTGTAACAGATATTAATGAAATGTCATCTTTAAAGTTTCATTAACTGAGGTAACTCTGTATGCACTACATCATTGCGTGAAAGTACATTAACTAATGCCTTTAAAGTTTCATTAACTGAGTTAACTCTGTATGCACTACATCATTGCGTGAAAGTACATTAACTAATGCCTTAAATCTAGGATTGTTATCTCTGTAGCATGTAAGTTATGTAAACACAATTTATATATATATAATGCATATATATATATTATTTATAAACAAATTTATATATATACTTGTTTGGGAACCAAGTTACTCATGCCGTGTAACCTGAGCAGAGCTATTCCCATCCCATATCCCATCCCATTTTACCGGTAACTAAATTTTCGCTGTTGATGTCGACCCACTTAACTTAGAATCTTAATATCTAAGAACATTCCCGTGGGCCTACTGACTTCCCTTATCAAAATTTGAGGCAAATTGGTTCAGGGGTTTCCTGAGTTATGATTGAACAACAAACAAACAGACAGACAAACAGAGATTACAACTTTACATAGATAATAATTATAAAGCAATTACTCATATGTATATATATATATTATATATATATTTATTTGTAAGTTCAACATTTTTTCAGTCAGAATTAATCTACTGATCGTTCTAACGATTTTCAATTTCGTGTTTGTTTATAAAAAACGATAATTTTTTCATTTCTCTCAACGATCCATTTCGTTTGTCCATTGTGAACGTTAATATTCCACAAGCTGAGAAGCTGCAGAGAGGATTGTTCAAAACTAAAAAATGAAGCCTTAGAACAGGGAAAGTCTGTTCTTTCTTCAGGGGCGTATATGTCCAATAGAGGGGGTGCTTGGGTTAGTACCCCTTAAATTTACATTTTTCCTTCTAAAACACTAAAGTTTCAAAAATCCTTTATCTCTGATTTCCATTACATAATCCTTTTATGATTAAACTCTTAACTTTACATAATAATAATAATTTCTGATTTTAACAATTTGCCTTAAAGAAAATAGTGGAAGGCAATTCACATTTTTTTTTGCAAATCCATAAATATAAAACGGAAAATCTGTTAGATTGTTACTAGAAAAAGTGGCACAAGTCGCCCTAAAAAGCCTGCTTTTTTTACATTTCTCTCAGCATAAATTTTCCAGTTTTGGTGAGCGATTTTATAAATTTGTTTCTACCTTAAAAGTTTGTTTAAAATCTTTTAAGAATATAGAAGTAAAATATGTCTTTGATCTACTTAAAAGTAAAATGAGTCTCTTTATATTTAACTAAACATAAAGCTTAAATCAGCTTAAATTGTATAATTAACTTCCCAAGCTTAAAAGGATACAAAAGGAGCTAGGAATGAGATGGATTAGAGGGGGAGGGGTGGGTAGGGAGAGGGGAGGGATGGAGACAAGAATATTTAGGGGGGCTATGGGGGCTAAACCCCCCAAGACAAGTGAGCTCTATTGATTTCAGGGGGTTTTCATTCCCCAACGGGTTCTGAGCCCGGTGCTATGGAAACGCCTCAGCATGGAAACATCTCAACGCGGAAATGCCTCAAAACCGGTTTTGAGGAATTTCCGTTTTATTTTGGGAAATCCCTCAAAACTGGAAAATGTTGAGGGATTTCCGAATTTTTTTGAGGCGTTTCCTAATATATAAAGTTGAGGTGTTTCCTCTTTTTGTTGAGGCGTTTCCTCTTTTTTTGAGGCGTTTCCGTTTTTTGAAAAAACTTTTAAAACTTTATTTTGTTAAGACGTTTCCGTTTTTTTAGAGGCGTTTCCGTTTTTTTGAAAAAACTTTTAAACTTTCTTTTGTTGAGACGTTTCCGTTTTTTAAAGGCTTTTACATTTTTTTGAGGCGTTTCCGTTTTTTTTGGGGCATTTCCGTATTTTGAAAAACTTTTAAAACTTTATTTTGTTGAGGCGTTTCCTCTTTTTTTGAGGCGTTTTCTCTTTTTTTTTGAGGCGTTTCCGCTTTTTTTTTGAGGCGTTTCTGTTTTTTGAAAAAACTTTATTTGTTGGTCACCATGTTTACGGATTTTTAGGGGAATTTATTATGAGAACAGAAATGCGTCATAGTACGAGAATAAAAAAATGTTGTACAATTTTTTATGAGAAATTAAAATGAAATTTCAATTTTTTTTAAAAGCAAAAACACCTAAATAATGTGTGGAAATATCTCAACTTCATGTGTTGTTTGAAAAGTCTTTAATGAAAAACGGAAACGCCTCTAAACTGTTCGGAAAAATGTGCGGAAATGTCTCAACTTTATGTGTAGTTTTAAAAGCCTTTATTGAAAAACAGAAACGAAATTTTCGGAAAAGTCTCCTCTATAATGAATTTAAGAAGTTATCTAAAAAGACAAACTCTTCCAAAAATTCTGGAAACCCATAAAGAAAAAAAAAAATCGACTCTACTAATTGAAGCTTTGAAATTTTTTTTTTTAAACAAAAACTCGTTTAAATAAAAAGAGTTAACACCTCAACTAAATGAAGTTTTTAAAATACGGAAAAACCTCAACTAAATGAAGTTTATAAAAATACGGAAGCGCCTCAAAAAAAGGAAACACCTCAACTAAATGAAGTTTTAATAGTTTTTTTTCAAAAAACGGAAACGCCTCAACAAAATAAAGTTTTAAAAGTTTTTTCAAACAATGGAAACGCCTCAGAAAAACGGAAACGCCTCAAAAAAAAGAGGAAACACCTCAACAAAATAAAGTTTTAAAAGTTTTTAAAAAAGACGGAAACGCCTCAAAAAAAGAGGAAACTCCTCAACAAAATAAAGTTTTAAAAGTTTTTTCAAAAAACGGAAACGCCTCAAAAAAAAAGGAAACGCCTCAAAAAAAAGAGGAAACGCCTCAACAAAATAAAGTTTTAAAAGTTTTTTAAAAAAACGGAAATGCCTCAAAAAAAAGAGGAGACGCCTCAACAAAATAAAGTTTTAAAAGTTTTTTCAAAAAACGAAAACGCCTCAAAAAAACGGAAGCGCCTCAAAAAAAAGAGGAAACGCCTCAACAAAATAAAGTTTAAAAGTCTTTAAAAAAACCTTTAAAAAAACAGAAACGCCTCAAAAAAAGAGGAAACACCTCAACTAAATCAAGATTTTAAAAATACGGAAACGCCTCAAAAATTTTGCGGAAACGCCTCAAAAATAATGGGAAATCCCTCAAAAATATTGGTAAATTCCTCAAAAATATTGTCAGGTGAAAAGCGGAAACACCTCAAAAATTTTAGGAAATGCCTCAAAATAAAGAGGAAACCCCTCAAAAACTGGCTTTTGAGGGATTTCCGTTTTCATGCAGAAATTGCGGAAACGCCTCAAAACCCAGCTGGAAAATTTCTCTCGATCGGAATTCCGATTTCTGACTTGAGGAATTCCAGCGTAGGAATGAAATCGCTCCGATTTTCCATTCCGATCTGTTCCGATCGTACATGATGCGGAGATCGATAGCGCAAACAGGTCGGATGAACCGATCGGTTTACCGATCGGTCTAACGATCGGTTTTAATAAATTTGATTATTTAAACGTACAAGTTTTATCTAACTATAGCTAGAAAATGGCTTAACGAATCGGATTAAAGTTGGTTAGATTGTTAGAGAGAGATACGAGAGCTTTCTCTCCCTCCCCCCTCTCTCCTTCAGCAGAAGTAAAACAGCTGTTCTTACTTCAGTTCACAACTTCACACAAAGATTTAAAGGTTGATCGTGGTCCGTGGGTTATATATTGTTTACCTTATTATATTATACTTATTGTGCGCGATAATTTTTATATCTGTTAAATCTACGTGTCTTCATTTTACATTTGTATTTTTTACTTGTAAGTGAAAAAGTGAAAAAGAATTGAGCTAAAACTTTTACTAAATTGAGCTGTTACGTAACTATCGTTTGAAGTGACAATACATTTAAAAAAACACTCGTAATACATTCGAATTATTGCATTCATGAGCAAGTCACTTTAATTGATGAAGCCCAATTGAAAATAATCAATTGGGGAGATAATATAAAGGATATCTCATGGTATATTCCTAGTATACGATTTTTGGACCCCCCCCCC